CCCCAAAACCCCAAAACCCCAAAACCCCAAAACCCCGTCAAGTTAAGATTATTAAAATACTGAGCAAATTTTATAGCAAAATTAATAAATTTGATCAAATTAATATTATAATGTTCTAAAATGAGTCTTAAGAGTTATCATGTGCTTAAAAGGCATAAGTATTGAGAAAGTTAGGCGCTGATTCGGATGTTGATCTTGGAATAATGCTTTATAATTAGATATTATTTGGTATACTGGTATTTATCATTATTTTTGTGGGATTGGTTCTATTTTGCAGAGAGAAAAACAGAGAAGAGCCCAGATCTATTAAAACAGAGAGAAGATAGTTTTCCAAAATGCTTTCGAGTCAAAGACTGACTGACGATTAGTATAATATTATAATACTTATAAGTTATTTAGGGTGATAGAGAGACAATCGAATATCAATAAACTGCTTAATGGCAGAAGAGGGACCAATTAGTCAGTAAAGCATTAATCAACAGACTCGAACAAGCCAGTCAAAATCTCATAGGTATTTGAATCTGGATTATTTAGCAAGGAAAACAGAATTTTTAGAGAGTTGAAAGAAGAGCACAAATCAGCTGTGTCGAAAAACACAGAAAGCATTAATGAAGATTCCTATGAATAGCTTTCTAAATTTGGCTCCAGATCTCTAACTCAGACCCTCAAAAAGTAATCTGCTAAATGAAATAACATGCAGAGGAAATGATTCAATTATCTGAGGGAATTATCGAATATTAAGTCTTATAGATTTTATTGTGAGTTAACATAAGTATATAAATTTGTATTATTTTGAATGATAATTAAAGCAAATTTATATTAAGGGAAGAGCTATGCATATAAATCATCTTTTAGCCACAATCTTAGGCTGTTTGGTTCTGCAAATGTTACAAGTTTCGTGGGCTATGGGGTTTATTGTTGTGCATGTCGGGCAAGTCCATTGAGTTGCTTTGTGGAAGTTGTCTGCTTCACCAAGAACTTTATCGATTTCGTCTTGAATATCAGGGAGACCTGCCTCGATCTAGTTTATAACCTTACTAAAATGCGTCTCTACAGCACTCCTTAGATTATTTACATCTTATTTATACTTGAAGAATCTCTCTCCAAGATGGATGGCTCCGTAGCCATCGACTTCCAGATGTAACTGCCAGTCTTCCTCGTTTCTTTTGTTAAGTTTTTCAAGTGATGTTTCCAAGTCTGATTGGATAAAGTCAAAAAAGATCTGCTTAGCTGGACTCTCCAAGTAGAAACGCATTGGGTAGGTGTATGTTAATGCTCTACGAGCTCTGATGACTAGTTCTGCGATCTCTTCCAGAAAAACGAAATCTCTTGGACCATATTTATTATTGATCTCAATGCAATTTTTGATTTAGTTTTAAATCTCCAACTTCTTTTTCTGAGCAAAACTGATGGCTTTGTAATGCTCAGTATATCTAGTTTTATAATGATCAAGTTTTTTCAGCATGAAATCTAGCTTCATCTTCTCCTCCATTTCATCTTGTTTGCCTCTTCCCACTGCGACAACATCCTCAAAAGAGTTGCATAATCCTCTGCCAGTCTCAGCAGTATGATTTCTGTAATCACCTAAACATAACCAACAGAACTCATATCTGCACTATGAGCATGTCATGTGCATGCAACCTTAATTCTTTTGAATTGATGCTTTACATTTTGGGCACTATTTGGTGTTAAGTTTGATCCAAATGTCTGTATCATCCTGACCTAAATCGATTCTATCGCACCACTTAACCAGAAGTTCACAGTCTATTGGCCTGTGCGCTTTTCTCAGACATTTAAAGCACCAATCGTTTCCACATTTGCAAACGACATCAGTTGATTTCATTGATGGATATTCCACTGCATAACTGCAGTTCGGAGCAGGACACCACTTGGTGGTCTTGTTAATGTCAATAAAGGACTTTTTAAAGTAATAGTAATATTTCTGATATCCTTCTTTTGTGCACAACTTTTAGAACAGATTCTCTGGTATGATTAGTTTGCAACCTGATTGTGCGCATGTTGTGTTTATAGAGTCTGGACCTAATAAAATCTAACTTTATAAATACTCTCTGTAGCACTCATCACAGAAAGCATGTCCACACTCCATACTAATAGGATTATTTGTGTCCATGTAGCACACTGGGCAAAGATATGGGGCTTGGGATGATACATCTATTTTCATTCCGCAATGTCTATCATAGTTAAATAACTCTTTAACCAAATCTTCTGAATCATAGTACTTCTAAATTAACTTCTCCTTATCCCATAAAAACCTTATCAGTAAGGATCTTGCAATACAGTCACTTACTTCTAAAGTCTCTCTGATTTAACTAATGTATTGATCTTGTTTAGACTCGATTTCTACTTTATCTAAAATCGTGAAAGAAAATCCTCTAGTTAATTTCGGCCCGAAATCTCTTGACATTTAGTGGTCTAGGGTCAAGTCTGGTACACTTTCGTACTCGTAATCATCCCATCCCATTCCATCAGACATCTGTGAGTCAGATCTTGCTAAAGATTCTACCATTTATCTTTTTGCTGGATTTTTAACAATTGAAATTAATTAATGAACTACCTATAAATAAACTTATATTATGAATTTCCAATAGTATTAAAGTATAATTATGCAACTGAGGGGTTTTGGGGTTTTGGGGAGATCGGAAGAGCGTCG